GGTGGGGGGGGGGGAGGGGGGTGGGAGGGGGAGGGAGCTTTTATTTATTGTGTTCACAGACTCCATCCTTTCAGCATATCCTTTTAAGTTTAGTTCTTTCTTCCAGTTATACTGTGTACTATCAGTTTTGATATAACTATATATATATAAATATAAAATTATATATAAAGGGTTATTTGAAACCAATCCATGGCAACGCTGGTGCTTGATACACTGTGAAGTGAATACAACATTGAACAGTTACAGATCTGGGACGGTCCCTTCTATGAAAGTGCTGAAATTAAGTTAAAATCAGTCTTATGTGAAGTATATTCCAACCCACGTGGGAACTTGACTTTCTCATCTGTCTAACGAGTACTGGACGATAGAAAAATATATATTTTTTAAACAATGTGATCTCAAATTAAAGACTGCTCCAGATAGCCTGCATTTGCGATGGAATAACTGACAAATCACAAGTGGTTTAGTTGGGAGGGCTTTGATCAGTCAAAAGTAACGAAACTAGCTCCAGAATGCCAAGTATTCGTGTAAATTACAGTTACATGTTAACATTGCTGTTCTTACATAAGCATTCATGAAAATATGGTATTCTGTAACTCGAATTCCATCCATTTTCCAGACCTCTACTCATGTCTGAGGTAAATTGATAAATTGTCTCTTAGTTTTAGGATTCAAACTGTGTAACCTGTATTTTTCGTCCATACAAGAAGCAAATCCCTGTCTCCACTTTGCATGTGGCATTTTGTTTAATGGAACTTTGTTTGCCTCACTTCCCCTCTTTTCCCTTACCCTACCCATTCAGTTGTGAGAATTCTTTTTCTTTCTTAAAATCTAGTCTTGTTGTTTTACTGAACAAAGGTTATCAACCAGTACATCCAGTCCCCACATGGAGCTTTTCAGTGTTGGGAGACTTGTCTCAATTCCCTGCTGTGGGAAGGAACTCAGTGGTGAATAAATGGTCGAAGTGCTGGCAGCCAGAGTTGCAGGGAAAGCTCCTACTTCCTGCGAGCCTGTGATCTTTTTCTTCCTCAACATAAAGATAGCTTGAGTAAAACTCTCTTTTAAAAAAGATTCTTTTCACTCTCTCTTTTTTAACACTGTCTTGCAAAAACAAACAAAAAAAGGGGGGGAAAAAAGACCGCTAATATGAATCCACCCCTCCTCATTTTAAAAATGTTCTGTTTTGCTTTGTTTAGATTTAGGGTCTGTCTTCTCTTTGACTCTTACATTCATATCTGCAGAGTTCATAGACCTGAGAGTCATTTCAAGCATGGGAACTTGATGTCACCTTCCTTTATTTGACGGTACTTCTGGGAGGGCAGCAGATTAGTAAATGGAACACCACATTTTGGTGTGAAAAACCTGGTTTGCTTAAGAATAGAAGTAACTTCTGTCTGTGGAGGCAACAAGTAAACAGAAAAATTAACAGCTTGATTTGAGTAGCCAACAGGAAGGCTCCTTTCACATTTACATTAAAACTATTCCTTAGTCACTAATGTACCATCATTTAAATTCTGTTCTCAAAGGTATAGATGATAAAGCAGTGCCATTTGTTGCTGTGGTCCTACACTCAAATGCATGGACAATGTTCCCCCTCTTTTTAAAATACTGCTTTTATCTGGGATGCAAGCTATACTTACCTTTTTAAATACGTTTTTAAAGTATTTATTAATGAACCAAAGGAAATCAGATGCTTTCTATAAGCATCAGGATATAGAATACATAGTGATTTGACTATGAATTTTAAATCCACATTTTAATATTAGTGGGGTATTGCAAAGACATTCCTTCTAAAGTTTTAATATTCCTTTTATTAAGGGTCTCAGGGAGGGTGAATTAGTCAGCCATATTTATTTTCCAGAGGTGTAAGGAATTGCTAAGTTTTTTAATTAACTTTTTAAAAAAATTTAAACGTCACCAAACTCATGTGGGTTGCACTGCTTTTGAAACCAGTAAGTGTTGGTTTGCACTTTGTTCAGAAACACTGTGTACTTTTTCAAAATTAGTTTCATGTAAAGTGATTGGACCCCGAGATTAGTGGGAAAAGCTGGTTCACCAGCTACTCAGAGGCTGCTAATTGATTCATTGCCAATGTCTTGGTTTTTCAGTTTTGCCTCCGTGACAAATTAAAGAATAAATTAAAGAATGGGGAGGGGTGAAGGAAGGGGGAGGATTGCTTTAGAACAGGTGAGAGGATGAAATGGCCATTTTGGTAGAAACTGCGGCACACGGTGGGACTGCTCTCAGCAATCAGATGTTCTTGGGCCCATCCTTTAGCTGCTGTTGTGTAATTCTGTTACAGTAGTGAGGTGGTAGGTACTTTAGGCTTTTAATTTCCGAAATTGATGACGTCCCTCAGGCATGTATTCTGGAAATGGAATTCCTGTAACTTTCTGCATTTGCAGTTTGCCCTACAATTAGTAGGCAGTGTGTAAAAACACTAGTGTAGATGATAAAGATACACATTACAAGAGGACCAGAAATACTCGGTATTCAGCGGCACAGTAAGCAGGTTATAAAAACAAACAAAAGCACAGTGTTACGCTTGCAAGTTTCCATTTGTTTTAATGCCACACGATCCTTCACACTCGTGCGTGTGTGCGCGCACAGAGCTTATGTGACCTGCTCTGCTTGAGTCATGCAGTTCAAAAAATAATAATAGTAATAATAAGGTAAAGACATCTTGATACCCACAAAAAATTTTAATCAAAATCTTTCAGTTTCAATCTGGATATTCAAAACATTGGCAGAAGCTTCTGTGAGTTTAGTTCCACTAAGATGTTTCACCTGCCTTATCAAGACCATTCTCAGTCTACTTTTTTAAGCTGCCGTATCTTAAATTATTGAAAATTTATTAATTGCTGAATATATAATAACCTTTGCTTGTATGTAACCGAAAATGGTTTAAGAGCCAACATTTAGAGTATGACAATGGAGCTGAACAGTTTTTAATGCGCAAGCAGTTCTGTTCTTGTGTATGACTTGTAACCTTAATTTACTGTGTAAAGATGGTTACATTATTTCCTTAGCTTTGTTTGTTGGAGACAAATAGAGAATGCTTGTTAAGTATGTCAAAACATAATCTTACCTTGTGAATTTTTGTTAATGTATTATACGAGCTATATTTTTCATTTGCCCAGAAAGACAGCTTGTATAACGCTTTTGGAAGTTCCTGCTCTGTAACGTCTTTAGAGCTGACAGTCTGTTAGGTTTGTTTTTTTTCTTCATGCTAAAGTGTCGGTGGTTTTGTGAACTGGTCAGAAATTCACAGGTCTTAAATGTTTGGGGGAAATTTATATTGGACACTGCTCTTTGTCTAGCAAATAAAAGATGTTAATATATTCCTGTTACTGGCATGTGCACGACTATGTTATTAGAAGCCACTTTATCGTTTTCCTGCTTTAAATAGAAATGTCTATTTATGAATTCTGCTTGTAGTTTTTTCACAAATAAAATAGTAAAATTTACATTGAAATCTTTATTTTTGTCTGTGTAGACTTTAGCCCGTAGGAAAACAGTGAACTTTTGTACTCAGATTCTTCACTTGTGTAATATTCCCCGTAGAACAGGAGGCCAAGAACTTGAGTTTATCACATGCTGAAGTTGATTTGGGTGTCTCAGTGCACGGCTCAGAGCTGCAGCAGAAAATATAATGGAACCAAAGAATGGCCGAACTTTGGAAGAAAGCGAGCTAATGTCTGTAAATGCATCCTTTGAGGTAGGTTGCAGTGATTTAAGGAAGGAAGTGGAGATGATGGGTAACGATAATTAATTCAGTGCATGACTGAAAACCCTCAGAAGACAACCCATTTCTGGCCAACTGCAGTTAGGTAAATTGTGACTCTGATGTAAAGGAAATGCAGTGTCAAACCTAAAAGCCCCACAAACAAAGCCGGCTTATTGCCCCGGGCTAGGGAGACTGCTGCTGAGACAGTCACTTCCAAAGAATGTGGAAGTCACTTAACAGCACTGGTAAGAGGAGTCATCTGTGATTACTGTTCTTTGGCCTGAGTCTGCCCTTGAACTAGCACGGAGAGGAAGAGAGTATAAATGGTGCAGGACTGTAATTGGAAAATGGGTTTGTCCTGGTAAAAGAAGACTTAGCAAACTTCATTCTTTTTTGTCTTTGCTCCTGGCTCCTCGGGAGTCTTGGAAAGGACAAGGGCAGCGAGAAGAGAGCTGTCAGGGAGGCCCTGCGTCTGTTTCATCCTTGACCTCCCAGCAGTTCTGAAGAGCTCCTCTGAAATTAAAATTTCATCATAGCAAGGAAAGCTTCAGAGCCATTGTTGTGTTAGGCTTAAACACTCTTGACCAAGGTCTTGTTTGTTAATCATCAAGAGAAGCCAGGTTCTAATCTGGCTGCCCTTAATGACGTTTGTCAGGAAAGGACAGTCTTCATCCCGGCAGCCTGGGCTCTGTAAGCACAGTGGAAACGAACCACTGAATACTGCAGGGAAGGCTCTGATTTTTCTAGAAAAGATCGTAGGCCATGTCTAGAGAGATTGAAGGGAGGGGGCTCAGGTCTGGGTAGACCCTAGAGTGAAAGTAGGCATCCAGCTGTTGTGTTCTGCCTGGCCAACCTGCCTTCTCTCCAGGCATTAAACCGCAAGGCTGGGGCGGAAGCCAAGCTGTAAGGCATCCAGTGCCCGGTTACACATCCACCGTGGTTCTGAAAAACAGCGAATAGGGCAGAGTGCGGAGACAAGGGCACAGGTGCGTTTGACCTGGACCACCCACCCTGTTCTCCCCACCTCGAGCTTGTGCCAGGCGTCACAGATCGATCACAGTACTGTTTTTCAGCTGAGTTCAGCCTCTGAAACCTCAACACAG